ATAAATATAGGAAAAAATAATCAAATGCATCCACGTCTTGTATTGTAGGTGTCATGATCTGATGAAGCATTCTTACAAAAATATTGAAAGGAACAAAAAAAATAAGAAGAGTGTTGATGTTTGGACAGATCTCATCAGCTTCTGTGAGGTATGCGACAAAAGTTTCAGACACAATCTAATATATTGCATAGTACTTAAGGTACGATGTGTCGTTGTGTTGTTCATGTGGACTTACTTTTTTGTTTGTTTGATTAGTGGTTTTGTTAAAAAGGTAAAAAAAAAGGAAACCACTTGGTCTACTAGGCTTAGTGTGAAAGTTAATGTTATAAAGTTATGGATTTTGTTAGCTTTTTACTTCTACCAATTTTATATCAGCTTTATTAAAACTCTTATTATGTGTAAATATCTCTTTTTGGCTTATGAGTATATCAAGTTTGAATTTGAGTATGTTTTGTATATTATTTTTCCCCCTTCTGTATGAAAGATTATGCTTATATTACTAGGAATCATCGATGTATCCTTTGTTAAAAGCCTTATAAACATTTAACGATGGTCCCAAATTTGAAAAAGTACACATCTAAATAATTAAAGGTGGGAGATGCATGTGGGAGTGTGAGAATGCTTTCATTAAAGACAGTCTATTTTATTTAGTTTGAGATCATTTAGAACATGATCAATGGTAGTATATAAATTGGGGTGTTAAGTAATTTTTTATTATAAATTGTATTGGATTTAAAATTAAAACCTCATTTCAATTTATATGTATTTTTATCCTCCAATGGTAGTTGTTATTTTTGGGGTTCTAAAAATTAAAAAAAAAATATATGATTTTTTTTTTAAATAGAGTTTTTCCATTAAATAAAACATAGATTTTTTTGCATTGAATGAAATTTGAAATATACATGAAACAAAAATATTTAAAACATAGATTTTGAAATCATAAACAGAAAGAAACGGTCATGTATAATCTATCAATGAAATACACATAATTTTCCAACAACATAATCTATCAATGAAATACACATAATCTTCCAACAACATAATCTATCAATGAAATACACATAATCCATAACCAGATATGAATGCATGTACAATCATCATGAAAATATAAAAAAAAAAGAAGAGTATTGTGCTCATCTTAGTGGGGGAAGGTGGATGGTTGAGGTGGTCCAAAACCAGTATGCATTGTGCTCCTCATCACTCTCATATTGTTAATCCTCTCTCCTCCTCCTGCTATCAAAAACCACATCCATCATTATTATCAGTCGGAATATTTCACGAATTTAACAGTTTGGAAGAAAATTGTACTAATCATTTGGTTTAAGTGTTATATGTATTAAAGTTTGCCACAACTTTCTTAAAACATCAACACACACATTAAACTATGTTACCCGTTAGAAAAGAAGAATAGATTAATTAAGTTAAATATGTATTTACTCTTTAAAGAACTCTTGTTTAACACCCATATTTTGTACTCTTCCGAAAGGAAGCTAATTAAAAAAAAAGAAGTATATGACAGGAAGTAAAGAAAATGTTTGACTGAAGAAAACGAGAAGCAGAGAGAGAAAAAAGATCTCTGCATTGCACTTATAGTTTGTTTTTGACCATTCTAAATTTCTCACTTATGTTTCAATCTTTGTAGAKTGTTTCAAATAAGTGGATTGCTTATTCTTTTCTTATTTTTCTGGCAAGTTTGTGGGRTATTCTCTATCTATACAASGAAGGARTAATTCTATATATCCCCTAAACATYTATAAAACAGAGCATATATGAATCAAAYTCTGAAAGATATCACAACTTATGGCTACATCAGACAYAGCATATATAATTTGTGCATCAGAACCGGATTAAGCTTCAAAAGCAGAACAAAATAGCTGAAAATCAATCKTTTTCTACAGATAAAGCTTCAAAAGTAGAATAATTAGACCCCTACAAATCTGAAGATGAACCCTAGATCGTAAATTTGATTACTTTATTGAATAATTCCGATTTCATCCCCTATAATAATTCCGATTTCATCAAAAAACCCTATAATAATTCCGATTTCATCAAAAACCCCTATAATAATTCCGATTTCATAAAAAACTCCTAATTTCATTCACATGCGAAAATCCTAAATGAAATAAACGATTTTGATTCCATGAAATCTCAACAAATTCACAACGATCTACAAGAAAAATCATATAAATTCACATATAACTTACCAAATTAGCTGATTCAAGAGAGTCCTTGAACCGTGGATTTCATCCAAAATCAGTCGGATTTCAGACAAAATTAGTCACATATCACCACGATTGACCAGTTCTCAAACGGATTTCGAGTGATTCAACATCAGAAATCAATTCGTCTGTGATTTTGGTTAAAATCGCAGGAAGAAAA